CAAGCAGAAGGGCAATAGTAGATGGTTAGGAGCAGTAGGATAAGGTGGAGAAAGAAGGAGTAACAAAACATCCCTTCTCTTCTTGGTGGCAGCAAGCTCTTACACCGGCTAAACCATCTCCTAGAACTTTACCTTTCACAACTCACTTTCAAAAGCCAGAATCTTTTCTTCCTTTTCTTTCTCATACTCACGTCTATTGTATTGGCCATAAAATTACACGGCATATTGCTTTGTGATAATTGCATGTGTGATTGTGCAGGTAGAGTACATTGCCTGTGCTGCTAAAGTCTGTATTATAACTGTGTGGGTGTAACGTTTACTTAATGTGCAAACTAACAGTTCGGAGTTGAGAACAATTGCATTTGAATCTAAAAATGTTCCAGTAAGGAAAATGAATCCGTTTTGAGCCTGTTGCTTCATTAGCTGTGAAGATTAACTAGTCTATATTATAACAGCACTTAAAATAAACAAAGCTATATAGTTTCTATAACAGGCAGCCTTTTTTTCGTTTTCTTTTGTCACTGTTGTAATGGTGTGTAGAGTTCCTGTGCAGGGATCAGGATTCCCTTGCACTAGGTATCCTATGGGTGCTGATAACAAAAAATAATGCTTATTCTAGTTTTGAAAGTAATTTATGTAATCCGAATCATTGTCAAATGTCTTCAAAGTGTTCATTTTTTTTCCCTCTGAAGAACTGGGTATGCTTCTTAGTCTTTGTTTTCAAAGAATACATTCTTCTAGTCTCTTCTTTCTACTAATCTACGGGTTTTAGCTCTGAATTAGCTGTAAAAGACCACAATTTTATCTGTCCTGTTAAAGGTTGAACAACATGGTGTCAGCTGTCAATTCTGTGAATGAGAGAGGGATTTTCTTAGTTCCTGAGTTTGGTGGGCTTTGAAATATCTGTTTGCATAACAGTCGTGCTGTTTTTCCATTAGTCAGAGGAGGAAAACTCAGTGGTGACAGGGTGATTTGGCAGAAACTTAATGGATGGATTTTACAGGACTCCGTTCTCACAGGGAGCTAGGTCCTGTGCTGTTCACCACAGACACAAATAGAAAGGGGGTTAGGTGATAAATTTTGCAGTTAATACACTTTTTTTTTTTCCAAGTGGAAAGCAGGAGGGCCGACTGAGGCATTGCAGAAGAATCTCATGGTATTTCAGTGAACTGGACCAAAAAAAGTGCTATTCAATGTTGAAAAATGCACAGTAACACACATGGGAGTGAACATAAAGAGTCTGTCCGCTGTCTTGCACATTAGCACCTGATTCACAACTTCTCTGAGCCTTTGAAACCACTGAATATAATTCGGTGGTTAATTCAATGATCCTAAAAGCAAGCAAAATGCTTGGAATAAAAAAGAAATAGAGAAGAGATGGAGGAAGAAACACTCATTTAGAAATCCATTTTCTTCCACACTTGGGGCGTTTTCAAACCACCCGCCACCTCAGCAAATGAAGAAGAGTAGAGCAGACCTAGCCAAGAGCAGAACAAGGGCAACAAGGAATGAAGGGCGGTTAGGAGAATGTGAAATATCACTACAGGTTTTTGTAGGTGTTAAAGACTGAGAATTTCAAACAAAGTACAGAAGCAAATCCATGGAAAAAAGAAAGCCATAAAATGCTGTTAAACTGATGTACAAGTACAGCCTGTGTCTTAAACTCTGCACCCTCAGATTTCTGGAAGACTATGCTATTTGTGTAATTACTGTTTGTTTACCCTATTTTTATACATTTCTCTAGGTACTTGCTTCTTGCCTCTGTCAACCAGGGCACTTGCACTAAGCAGATGTTTAATCTAACTCTGTGAATTCTTTCTTGTGGTGGTAGATTTTAAGAGAAAAGCTTGCTTCCCTTCCCTCATTTTCAAGTGCCTCTGCATGTGGGAGTCCTGGTGCAGTCTGAGAACTCGATCTGAGTGTTTTTATTTCCCCATTAGCCCTTAGCTGTGCTTTAGTTAACAGCTTTTCTTCAGTACCTGTGGCCACTCCACTCCAAATATAGCATCAAAATTAGCTGCTTTTGCAGAGATTTCAATAATATGCTTATCTTTTTTGTACTATTTTGACGTTTGTGTTATGTTTTAGTCCATTAAGTGCTACGCTGAAGGCTGAACATCTTTGTTCAGCTCTGTGCATTTCTTCTCTTGTTCAGCGTTTTTTGCAGCAGATGAGTACAAAGATATTTTCATGGATTCTTTTTTCCCCTCACCTCCTCCTTTAAATGCCTTTGAAATAAATTGCATAAGCTTCTGCAATTACCACACTGGTCCAGTAGTCTATATTTAAAGTTCTTCTCTTTTAGTATTAGCTGCTCTCTTTGAGCAGCAAAAAAAATCTTCACCTTAGTTTTTTCCTTTCTGCAACTCACCACTACAATCGAAGATTAACAGCTCTGTTCTCTCTCAACTCAAACAATTGATATTCCTGAGTACTCATGCTAAGTAGCTGTATCGGCTCCTTGTCTGTTGAGTAGCAGTTCCTGCCATGCACACCTATCTTTTGAATGTTGGTTTGTTGAGGCAGAAAGGCACTTGTTTATTTTGAGTTGTAAATGTTTAAATAGGTCATTGCTAGAGACCTAAACCAAAAATGAACAAAAAGCAGTGTCGCTGCTTACTGTACACAGCCGAACTGGCTGGCAAGAGTATTTTCTTAGTTCTCTGGCCATCAGTGAGATTCAGCTATTGCAAAGGAAATTCACTTGCTCTATTTTTCTCTCTAAATGTGTTTTAATGATTCTTCGTGCTACAAACCAGTCCTGACTGTAAGAATGCACAAACCTAGAGTGATGCGGGTAACATCAGTTTTGCTTGGGAGAGCTGACCCTTTCATGAGGATTGCTCTAGCATTTACAGTAGCAACTGCTGTTCTTATAGTAGGAAAAAATGGAACAATTTATACAATGCCAGTTTAATAAAGAGATGTCTGGGGGAAGGGAATGGACTGCAGTGCAGATAAAACTATGAGAGGAAAAATGTAACATTGTCAACAGCAGTGGTATTGCTCCAGGTAATGCCACGTTCTGTGCACTGTCATCTCTCCACACTGTTTGGTTTTATGGGATAAACTGAGTTCAGTGTAACCTGACTATCCATCTTCAGCCAAGTCACTGCCTTTCCGGGAAGTTTTATTTTTCAAACGTCATTAAGTAGAAGCCTTAACAGTTGCATAGGGCAGATAACGTTGTTCCAGGAGCACCTTGGAACTGACAAAGCTGTTATTTCCTATGGTTTTGTACCCTTTCCCACTTGTGGCTCCCAGTAGCTCCGGCTTTCCCTCCATCCCCTGCTGCACCCTCACTGGGCAGCCGTCAGCACACGCTGTGCCTGCTCTGGAGCAGCTGTACCAGTGTCGGTGCTGGCTGGCCAGCTGCTGCTGAACAACAGCATGTGCGATGGATGGCAGGGTCCCGTTCCCTTCTCTGTGCCTCTTCCTTTACCTTGACTTGAAATTTGTCACAGAACTTTTAGGAACTTCCCACATCCATTTCTGAGACTGAAGACTCTGAAGGTGGGGAGCACTGTTCCATTAGCTTATTTTCTCAGGGAAAGAAAAGCTACATGGTTATGATTTTAAAATTTATTTTTCAAATTTTCCATGTGGACAAGTTATCAGATTATCAGATTTAGTGTGCTTGCCAATGTATAATTCACACATGTGAATTTTGTGAGGCAAAAATTGTCATATATTGATTCTTCTATCTGATAAATACTGTGCACAGGTTGCCCAGGGAGGTCATGGAATCTCCATCCTTGGAGATACTCAAAAGCCAATGGGACATGATCCTGGGAAACTGGCTCTAGGTGGCCCTGCTTGAGCAGGGAGATTGGACCAGTTGACCTCCAGAGGTCCCTTGCAACCCCAACCATTCTGTGATACTGTGAAATTTCATTTCTTTCCAGAGGTGTTCGTGTCACTACAGGGATCCAGAGACATAGAGTTTGTCCTCCTGCTGCACAAGTTAACTTCATTTCACAAGAGTCAAGGAGACCCATGATGTTTTCTTTTTAGTTTTCGTCCTTGGAGTGCAGGAGCTATTGGGGAACTTTTTCTGTTTGCTTTTGTGCTACTTTCGCTATTCAAAATTAATGTAGCTAGAATTCAAGATACATATGGAAATTAGTATTTTTCTTCCAAGGTAAAACTTACTGAAGTCCAAGATATGATCTGTTTGGAAAATGAACACCATGGTTTATTTCCAGACAAGTGGAATTTAGTTAGGCTAATGGGGCTAGCCCTTGAAATCTGTGGGTCACACAGTGCTTCTTAATGAATTACACTAATTTAAACCAATGGAAGTGCTTATGAATTTACACTGCTATTGTTTAAATAGTGGGGGAAAATATACCTTGGGTCAGTCTGCTTGTTTGCAATACTACTGTAGGACTGTGCAGTCCACCCACGTGTTGAACTACAAACACCGACGAACCTGGAGAACATCAACTGGTGGCACAGCTCTGTCTGCTGTCATTTGGGCAACCTGTGTCTGACTAGTGCAGCATAGTACAAACACATACAGCTCTACAAGAGCCAGGAAGTGATAGAAGTATTGTGCAATAAATAAAAGTATAATTAGGGGAAGTCAATATACAAAACAGTTTGTGCTATACAGTTTAAAGCCTTCCTCATAGTATGAGGAACGTAGCTTCATTCATAGCAACAGGTAGACTAGGTAATGAGAGGAACAAAAGTAGGTTTCTCATCATAAAACTTCCTTTAGTAATAAGTAGAGCACTTGTGTCTGTTTGACTTGGTGTCACTGGGAAGTTTCAGTTGGAGCAGATGCTTGAGAACTGTCCTGTGCTAACCTCCCACCATCCTTCTTGGAAAAAATGCAGTCAACTTACTTTCCAGCACTTTGTCACTGGAGTGATCCATGCAACAAAACTGGGACCCAACAAAATAGGTTTTACACATACCGCCTAAAAGTACTCCAAGTGATGTATATTTATTCACTTAGTCAAAAATAATTTTTATTTATTTTAGATACTGAGTGTATTTTGGAACCTCTGTCTCTGCCAGAAAGTCCAGGTGGTGTTGCTGCTGTAGAAAGCTCTCCCCATGTGCCTTGTATTTTCTGCGAAGAATGCTGTCTCTTAGCAGAACAAAACCAGCTTCTGAAGCACATGATTATTGAACACAAGCTCGTCATAGCAGATGTGAAACTGGTTGCAGATTTTAGAAGGTAAGGTTTATATTGTTTAAAATGAGTGTTCACATGCGCAGATATTATAGAAGGCTTCAGAAAACTAGAGATTGTCTTTTAAAAATACTTAAAAAAGCAGTGGGGTGTTGTGGGAGGATTTTTATTACTTTTTTGATGAGCTTTTTGCTGCTGGATTGTAAGGTTGATTCCCGTTCCCCTCCCACTCCCCGGCCCCCGATGTTGCTGGGACCAGGGTACTCTGTATTAGAATACAGGATAATTCCTCTGTTAAACATTCTTTCACATATCCTAGGGACTTCTCAGGTCCTATCACTAATCAACAAGTTGTGTATAAACTAGAAAGCTTTTTATTTCATAAAGCGCATTCTAGAGATCAACTCCTCTCAGTTTTGAGTTTTATTCATATAGGACAAGACTATTTCTACCACTGTACAATGTCCTAAAGCTGTTTATTGTAAACAGAAGCTGCTCATTACAGCATCTCTCGCATTCTGGGATGAAATTCAGTTCCTGTATTTTAAGGATGCCAGTATTTCCCCACAGAAATCACATTTAATCCTTAGCTATACTTTATGATACTGTGATCTACATACAACTGTGACTCCTTCTACAGCTGTGTCATTGATCATCTCAGCAAGGTCACGTTTGGCTTTCTCTCTCTCAGCTTCCCCCAGTAGCTGGCGTGGCCCCAGCTGGCTTGTAACTTCAGAGACTAGGCGTTTGCTTGGCATTTTGCTTTCACACCCAGCAACGTATGGGCCAGGCATTAGGCTAGACAGTACCTGCCAGTTTGTAGATAGTTCTGTTATCTAGTGGTTAAATGTTAGCTGAATAATTTCTCAACTAAAAGGAGTTTTCTGGTAGGTCTTCTGTGATTGGTTACTCAGCCAATGCCTGTAACTTGTGTCTATGGAGATGCAAAAAAAAAATGAAATATTAAGATGAAATTTAGGAAGAGAAATGTGAGCCATATAAATCCTTATTCAGATGTATGAGCTTAACATTGCTTAGTATTGAAAACTGTTGCTTGTTTTTGTTTAGTTTTATGCTGAAGGCAGGCAGAACAAGAATGCAATGTTCTTTGGAGATAATGCTAGTTTTCTCATATAAGTAAAGGGATCAGAGCTGCTCAGTCATGGACCACCAGTTTAAGTGTGCTTGGGGGATTATTCTGTGTTAATAGAAATGTACTTTAAAATCACCTTTTCAAGAAAATGTCCATTTAGATTCTTTTTGCTGCTAATGCAATTGGAAGGTAGCCAAATCTTACAGAAAGTGGCCCCAGGATGTGAAATGAGGGAGTTATTACTCTGAAGTGTGCCTTCTCGTATTTGCTGAACTTAATGTCAGTAAAATAGTTTAATGTTATGCACAAAAAAAGAAATTATAATCTGAGGTGTTAAACTCAAGTGTGGAAAATACAGGGAAACAACTGTAAAAACGTAGGTTTTTTTTATACTTAGCAGTGACTTACAATCAGTCTTAGGAATACATTTCTTGAAAGAACTACAAGAAGCGGAGAATCCAGAGAAGAGCAATGCTAATGGAAAACTCTTTTTTTTTTTTTTTTTTTAAACTTGGAAGAATAATGATAAGTTGGCATTAGGGCAAGGGGAAGAGATAAGGAGAATAAGCTTCTACTGCATGACTGGACATGATCACTCATGGACACAGATCACTGATTCTCCCTGGAAGCATGACAAGGCATTGGCTTTATTTGATCGTTGATTATTTGGGTTAAGTCTTATGATATGAAATCCCTTAACAGTAAGCTTCATGGCACAGATGGTTATGGTTAGGTGAGTTTGTCTGAACGATGTTCATTTATTTCAGTGCAGGGGACAGAATAAATGGCATCTTGGAATCCATTCATTTACACATGTATGTCCTAAAAACTTGAGGATGACTTGTTCTGGAAGAATTGCCATTCTGTGTAGCAGCCAGACAGTTTCATTGTGCATTATAAACAGTGGAGTAGGCAGGAGGACAACAAAACGCTCACCTCTCACTTACTGACATCTGATGATGCCTCTGAATGAGCTTCAGCCATGCATGCTGGCTTCACTGTGCTGAGCTGTCTGCTGTACCAGAGGTTAATCCTCTCCGTGTCAGAGTTAGCAGAAACAAATATCTGCTGATTCCTTGGCTGCTGCAGGTGAAGTCCTCATACAGTAAGCTAGGTGGTAAATAGAGGTTGTATGAACCACCGTGGGATGTGATAGCTATGGCAAGTAAACTTTTAGATCGCACAAGTATTAAAAGCTTTAACTATTTAGAAATGGCCTTACAATAATGATATCCGATTTTTTTATAATTCTTTTCCTAGTTGATGGCATGTCATTAGGAAGCTGCCATTCAATAGTTAGCCTTTACCTTACTGACTCTCACTTGATTCATATCATGCACATGAGCCATGAGTATAAATATAAGCATGCACTTAAGTGTTTTAAGATTTTATTTTTTTTTCATAATAAGATTCTGAATAATTAGCACAAGGATTGCTTGGTTCCCTTCATCATATAATTGAAGGTGATGATTTCTTCTTGGTTAGACAGCTTCTGGTTCAGTGGGAACCTAATGTCAGTTGAGATCTGTTAATGCTGCTATAAAACAATGACAGTACAAGATTGTTTATAAACTGTAGTTGATGCGTTAAGCCTTCAAGATGTGTTTAGGGCTTTCCTTATTCAGTCTTCTCTCTCAGCCCCAGGTGTTTGGGGACTTCATTTTTCTGTTTTTCTAGTTGTCTGCCAAGCTACAGCTTTCACTGTAACTCCACAGGAGACCTGCCAAAACCTCACTTTTGACAAGTTGGTGTTTTTACTGAGTTTCAGATTCCTGCCTGTATCTTGCAGAACACAAAGCACAATATTTTGGGAATTTGAGAGTACTCTGTAGTGTATCTTTTCAGTAAAGATGCATCTGAGTGGCACTTCTGTCTGAAGATGTGAATAGGTCACAGTGTTTATGTAAAGCTTAATGCAAATCTGTCTTACTGAGTTTTCCACTTTGACAGGATGCTTAAACCCAGTTTTAATGAAGCTGAATGAATTTAATGAATTGGAAAACTAAATTAAAGGAATTAAAAACAGAGACAGGAATTTTTAAAAAAAAAACAAACCACAAAACTCTTAAGGATTTAGAGGATGGAAAAAGCAAGAGCCGATCAACTGTTTATTAAACGTTTTTTGATGTTTCCTTTTTCACTACTCATGTCCCCCTTATTATTAAAGATACGTCTTGTACTGGAAGAAGAGATTTGCAGAACAGCCCATCACAGACTTTTGTAGTGTGATAAGAACAAATTCAGAAGCTCCATTAGGTAAGTATGCTGTTTGCTTACTCTCTGTTGGCCGGATCATGTGGTAATTTCTGGCGTACACTGCTGCTTTGATCAGCCAAGTGTGAAGTAGTCCGACACTAGGTCAGAAAACCAGAAGTAATGTTTAACTCTTAACCACGTTTTTAGACTTACCTTTTCTGAGGATTGGAACATGTGCTTCAGCGCTGTGCCGAGTGAGGATGAGCTCAATACATGTGTAAGTGTGCTGTCGAATTAGGGCCAGTTAGCAGAGCTGCTTACATCACGGCTGTGGAAACTTTGGTACCCACTGCTTAAATAATTGGTGCCAGTCCTTCCAGAAACGTGGAGAACATTCCCAGTGAGCTGTCTTTTCCAACTTCACCCTGTCCACCACCCCCACTGATGCTGCTAACTCTTCCTGGACACCAGGGCCACAATCACCCTTCCGTTCTTCTGCCACAGTGCTTATTGCCCTTGTATTGTTTATTGTATTAGGAGACAATATGTTCATGGTAGGAGTACAAAGACTACCGTTTTGTGGGCTCCACAAGACCAAAGACCATACTTCACAGTTCTGCTGCATTGACACAGTGGAACATTCCATCATAAGGTCAGTGATGACTGTGCGAAGGAAGCGTTTTTCTCAGAAGTAGCTGATGCCTTTCTTTGGCTTCTCCTTTTCTAACAGGAAAATATAGTTTACCTAAAAGCAGATAAGAGAACTTTAGGTCTTCCTTGCATCTTGAATTCTCAATGGAGAACTTAAAAGAGAGGAAGAAATGTATGTTGTCAGTGTCGGAGGTGGGTGGAAGGTGAAAACTGAGTACAAAATGGATGGAAATAAATTGTTTTAATTATTCAAATTAATTTTAAGAAAAATAGTCCTAGAAAACATGAAAATCACTCCAAAGACCATAATTGCATTTCTCTTATATATGTATGTTTTGCTTCTGAAATTTTAACGTGTACCACTCAGTTTGAAAACTGCACATCAAGTGCCTGAATGCCAGAGCTTGCCAAAATTATAAACCATCAATAGCCCTTCCAGAGGACAACGGGAATACTTCTTTGTTTGTTTGTTAGCAGATTTGTTCATTTTAATGGCTGTCTCCTTCAAATTTGATAGCTCAGAAATCAGGGGATGTTTTCTTCGAACAGGCTTCTGTATGAAAAAATGGGAAAGGCAGACGTCTTACAAGTTTAAAATGTAAAAGACATAATAATGGTCACTTCAGTTCACCAACTACATAACCCTTTGATTAAAAAATGAGTGACTTTCAAATTTAAAATATTTTTGTAAGTGTTTTTATATTTTCTTACATGCTGAGTAATTTTAAGGTAATTCATTTGAATAAGATTTGTTTTATTATTAAATTGAATATGAACATAAATAGTTTTTACTAGTTCGTAAGCATGAAATGTGGGTAAAGCACAGAAGTAGAAATGTGAAGTAGGCAAGTCTTGATGTGTGTTAGTAAACAGTTGTGCACATCAGCTGATGGAACAAGATCTGATGGTAAAAGTTAATACCATCGGTCAGGGTAAGAGGACAGTATACCAAATTATGATAACTGCTGAAAACTGGCAATTACTTAGGGAAATAACTGAAAATCTCACATGCAAGATAAAACTGAAAGTGATTTCATGTTTCTTTCATGCTGACTTTATGCTGTGACCAATATAAATGATTAAAATTGCTTTATGTCTTCAGAAGAACCATCGTAAAAAAGAATAAAGCTGATAGAGGGGAAAACCTATGCAAGACTTTTGTCTTTGTACTGCAATATAAATGATGTAAAGGTCTTGTAAATATGTATATACAAATATGTAAGCATGTCTCATTAAATTATGAAATTAAAGTAACTGACTTTTATAGATTAAAAAACACATTCTCACATTCTTAACGCATTCCAATGTCTAGCAAATTCTGAGCCAGAAATATTCAAAGCAGCTGCCACTTCCCATTCCTTACCAACACTTCCTAATCTCTTAACAGAAGAACAGGACAATTATTTTCTTCTATGTGATGCTTTACCAGAAGACAGATTACTTAGAGAACAGCTTCAGCAAAAGAGATTGGTAAGAAATTACTGTTGTTTCATTTTTTGAGGTAAACAATTCCATAGTGTAATATATGGTAATTTATTGGGCGTTTTAAAGTGAGAGCATTTTTTGCTACACTGCAAAATTCTGATTTTTTACAGATTTTTTTTAAGCTTATTTCCCTAGCTGCTGCACAAACATATACGAACTCTTTGTTTATAGATTTTTCCTTGGAATAAATTTACAGGTTGTGTGTCAGTATTCCACACGAGTGGAAAATACACCCAGAGCGCTGAAAAAGGCTGAGTGTGCTGAACGTTTTTCTTCCTGCAAGAAGCTGCAATACATTGACACACTTTTGTGTAATAATATACATGTAGGGAACTTAGCAAAATAAAACTCAGTATGTGACACTGTGAAAAGGGAAGGTGATACTTATTTACAAAACCTTCAAGCAAGTTGGTTTTATGCATTCTCACTCTCTTACCCAGATTTCATTAATTCACACTCGCATACTCACGAGCTCCACAGTGCCTGAGTGCAGGAAGTCTGGCCAGTATTGTTTCCGTGAGATGCAAAGGACAAGAAATGCCAGCTGCGGAGGCCTCACGAACCCCTCTGGTTCTTCTTGCTTGGTGATAGCAACCTAGTACTTTGGACAGACCTCTCATGTCTTTTAGGAGTTGTCAGTTCTGAATGGGTGATGCTGCACCCTAAACTCTTGCTGACTTCAGCTTCCATGAGTCTTAGTCCATATTGCTGACCACTGAGGTTTTTCTGTTTTGCTTTGTTTTCTTGTTTGAAGTACGTATCTTTATTCTGTTTTTCCTGTTGGGCTAATTAAAAAAATAGTGTTATGTGATACATAGCGGCCTTGTTGTCAATCTCCTCGTGTTAGGATGCAGAGTCTTCTGCTGACAAGTTGTCTGTACTGTGAGGTGTTAGAGTGCAGGCCTTTTGGTCTTGATATAATATGTTCCTCAGTTTACTACTGGCAGCTCTGTCCTGGGAATTGTCAATACAGGCCTTTTAACCCTTTGTTATGCTGTTTCTTCTGGTGCCTTACCTTATTGGTAAGGTACCAACCGTGTGTTTAATTGCAAGTCTATACATACGCAGCGTGCAACTAAAGACTCCTTAAATCATAAGCATTGAGAATGAAGGAAATGCTTACAAAACCCAAATTCTGTTCCTCAGGAAAATTTGGATTGGCAGGCAAAGTCCATTTGGTCCAACTACCCTGTGCATACTGTTACAATTTGGTGGCTAGAGTAATGTTCTGCAGCTCGAGGCACATGATTAACGAATCCCCAGAACCTGTGGAGTACGTACAAGTCTTATACAGCTCTGTATAGAATCCCAGCTCCTGCAAAGGAGAATTGTGCTAGTTCCTCCACTGAGGATTTCCCATGGAGCTGGAGTTGCCTCAGCTGAAATCTTCATTCCTGTGTAGGTCTGTTGGATTGTCATGGACAGAGAAAAAAGCAGCTGATGCACTTATGCATAACATGCTACTCTTACAATTCATCCTAAAGAAAGCCATCCTGGATCAGTAAAAGGTTTGTCTAGATCAGTATCTTATCCTTGTCAACAGCAAAGCGTCTATGGTATTTGCCCTCTTCTGATCTGGTGATGATTCTTTCTCAAAATATTCTCTGAGTCCCCAGCAATTGGCAGCTCAAGAATTTCTTAATTCAGCAACAATCGTATCTGGGTTTATTAACACAGTAGATTTTTCTTTCCTGAGCCTCAAACTCTGAACCCATGCAAACTTCCAGTATCCCCAGGTTCCTGCAGCAGTGTTTTGCACAGCTTAACTACACACTGGGAGAGAGCCATCTTTTTGGCCCTCACACCTGGCTGGTTTTGTATTAGAAGAGGTGGTGAACAATTTGTCCTTTATCTTATCCAAACCATTCATGATTTGTCTCCTGGTTTATCTACCTTACGTTATGTCTTTCATTAGTCATGTGTTCAGTGCACCCTCATGGCAAAGGCAGCCAACAGCATCCTGGGCTGCATTAGGAAGAAAAAGGTTGCCAGCAGGTCAAGGAAGGTGATGCTTCCTCTCTACTCAGCACTAGTGAAACCACATCTGGAGTGCTGGGTCAAGTGCTGGGCTCCCCAGTACAAGAAAGATACAGACTTACTTGAGCAAGTCCAGTGCAGGGTCACAAAAATGATTAAGGGACTGCAACATCCTTCATACAAGGAGAGGGTGAGAGAGCTTGGACTGTTAAGCCTGGAAGACAAGGCTCAGGGGGGATCTTATCAATGTGTAGAAGTACTTGATGGGAATGAAGAAGGAGTAGACAGATTCTTCTCAGTAGTGCCCCCCAACAGGACAAGGGGCAATGGGCATGAATTAAAAATCAGGAAATTACCTCTGAAAACATGAAAACAATTTTTTTACTGTGAGGGTGGTCAAACACCAGAACAAGTTGCCCAGAGAGATTGTAGAGTCTTCATCTGTGAAGGTATTGCAAACACAACTGGACACAGACCCGAGTAACCAGCTCTAGGTGACCCTGCTTGGGCACGGGAGTTGGACTAGTTGCTCTCAAGAGGCCCTTTGCAACCTCAGTGATTTGAGGTTGTGGATGCTGTCTGTTTGGTGGTTCTTCATTGTTCATCATTGTTGCATACCTTTTCTAGTTTCCTATAATCCATTTGAGGTTATGAAAGGTATCTTGAATATTGTATGTGGGCATCCAGTATCATAATGAATTTCACTTCCCTAGCAAATATCAAGTTGTTTGTGGCTTTGAGGAAGGAAAGAGGATCATGATTGAGCATGCGGCTAATGTTTTCATAGAACTGTCTATTGTAGTAGCAACTCCTGGATGCCACACATTGAACTGCACTTTTTTTTTCTTTTAAAGGGCAATTATTTCTGGTTTTGTGGTGGTTTGTGCTATGCAGTCCTATTCCAACTAGGCCTTCTCTCCACTGCTAGTGTCAAGGGAGTGCAAAATCTGTTGTCAAGTGACCCACCTCATCTCCTCTGCAAATAGACGTTTCCTCAAATTCAGAAAAGACTACAGGATTTAACCCAAAGCAAGTGCTAGTTTTGTTTAGAGAGTAATTAAGTTAAAAAAGAAAGAGGTATGTATTCTTATTATAGTATGAAATAGCCTTTGCCATTAACGCTGTTTTAAATATAAGTATTGTATTGTCATTTTTTACAGAATTTTTGTGGAATCAAGCTGCAGCCGTAGTTGGGGCTAATAGAGTCACCGCTTTAGCTACAGCAATAAAGTCTGTTTAGTTTTTCACTTCCTTTTGCTGCAATCTGAGTGTTGACTTGCAAGTTAAATAGTTATTTTGCTTTGCAAAGTCTTTTACCTCCAGACAAGTCCAGCAATTAAGAGTGAGCTGGCAAATGGGCTCATGCGAGTTGCGCAGAATAAAGACCAGAACGATACAACTTTTGGTGATTTTTCTGCAGCCTTTGAATCCTAACTGCTGTCTCCAACAGCAAACTGAAACAAGGGCAAATGTTGTCTTTAAAATATGCTAACTGAAACATTTCATTTTGCAGTTTTGAAACTCTGGTTTAGGAATATTTCAGGCTGTATTGCAGCAGGGGAGCTAGCCAAGGTGGATGTCATGCAGAGACATTATGGTGACTGTGATGTATTGAGAGAGGCCAAGGAATGAGCCTGAACTGGGTTAGAGAGCACAGCTTGCTGAAATAGCCAGCAAGGCTACATAATACAAAACAGATACGTTCTTTTGGAAAAACAGTCTTGACAAAGAGTTCGTGGTTGTGAAGCAGTACCAGGCAAGGAAGTCCTAGCAGCAAAACTCGAGATACTATAGTGTCAGTATAAGTCACTTCGGTTTATCAGTAAGATTTTTCTAAAAAAGATAAAAAACAAACCTATTTCTTGAAAATACACACTTCTTATCACAGCATTGACCTTGTCTTGCTGTCATCTTTGCAGCTATTCTCCTGTCATGTGACTGATAGTTTGAGGTGAAGAGGCTGCTGTTCCTCCCAGTAGATAGACCCTGAAGAGGAGTCTTCACCAAAACTTGAAGAGAGACACAGGGATGTTTAGACTCTTCACCTATACCGGTTTCCCAGTATAAGCTGTTTGTATGATCCTCAGTTTGTCTCAAGCTTAAGCTGAGACAAAATTCAAGAAGTTGAAGCTATGCACTGAAAGGGATCAAGTTGCTAGCCTGATTTAGTGTAATGCATCAGAAAGTGTTTACAGAATAGCTAATAATATTAGCATGTT